AATGCCAGATATAGGTAATGGGAGGATGAAAGCAGCAAACCACATTGCCAGGTATGTACCTATGCAATAATCCTGCATGTTCTGTACAAGTACCCCAGGACCTAAAGTGCAGTAAAATAAAAAAATTTTTTAAGTCTTTTTTCTTCATTTATTTTTTAATTATTATTTTTTTTTGAGATGGAGCCTTGTTTTGTCACCCAGGCTGAAGTGCAGTTGCAGCATCTCAGCTCACTGTAACCTCCACCTTCTGGGTTCAAGCAGTTATCTGCCTCAGCCTCCTGAGTAGCTGGGATTACAGGTGCGCGCCACCATGCCCAGCTAATTTTTTGTATTTTTAGTAGAGACGGGGTTTCACCATGTTGATGAGGATGGTCTTGATTTTTTGACCTCGTGATCCACCCGCCTCAGACTCCCAAAGTGCTGGGATTACAGGCGTGAGCCACCACACCTGGCCTCGTGGTTTTTTTTGTTTTTTTTTTTTTGGTGGGGTCACTTGTGTTTCATATTTCTTTACCAATTCCCTCATTTGATTATCCATTTTGGTGAAATATATAGGTTTATCACTGTGGAATCAGTCAGATACAAAACTATGTACTTTGCCAGCTGGCTGTGACTGAGTAACAGATATGCAGTGACCAGTCACTGGCAGACTTTGGAAGAAGTGACGTGATTGGTTACTGATCATTGTGCACATCTGTCATCTATGTGGTGATTTGTGAATTGAAGTAAAGGAGTTTGGACTTTAAACAGTGACCCAGAGTTAGTGTGACCTGGTAAATGAAATTTGAACCATGTTGTTGGGGAATTGGTGTTATTTAAATAAACTGTAGTAACTGAAATATGTGCATATGGGAACCATGAGAAGGACTGCCTGTAGTTGCTAGAAAAGAGATTACACATAGCAATCCAAATTTCTAGTTTCTTCAGGAACAAAAAATCTCTAAGTGTTGGCCACCCACCTCGGGGCATGTGTTTTCCAGTTGTTCCAGTTCCACCCCTCCTTTTTGTCGTATATTTGTGGCCTCTCCTGATGAACTGTACAATGTAATAGCTACCAGCCACAAGTGATTACTAGCTACAAGAGGTTGTTTAAAATGTAAAGTTTATATTTAATTTTTAAGTGTAAAATTAAAATTAATTAAAACAAAATACAATTAAAATTAATTTTTCAATTACATCAGCCATATTTCAAGTGCTCAGTAGGCACATATGGCTGGTGGCTAGTACATTGAACAGTGTAGGATATAGAAAGTTCCACTATAGGCACTGATCTATATTAGCTAAATTATTATGGATCAAGGGCTGTCAATAACATTGAAAATCCAAAATACTATCCCTTTCAATCTGAATTACTCTTTTTTTTTTTTTGAGAAGGAGTCTCGCTCTGTCACCAGGCTGGAGTGCAGTGGTATGATCTCAACTCACTGCAACCTCCACCTACTGGGTTCAAGTGTTTCTTCTGCCTCAGCCTCCTGCATAGCTGAGACTACAGGCACATGCCACCATGCCCTGCTAATTTTTGTATTTTTAGTAAAGACAGGGTTTCACCACGTTGGCCAGCATGGTCTCAATCTCTTGACCTTGTGATCCACCCATCTCAACCTCCCAAAGTTCTGGGATTACAGACATGAGCCACCACACCTGTCTTTTATTTATAAACTAAACAAAACTAGAAGAGATTCTGAGTAAAGACTACTTTTTCAGGGAGAACCCTTGTGGCTTTTTCCATATAGAAACATTAAAGGTGTTGGAATCTCTGAACTCTATGGCATAGTATTTGAGGTTGTAGGTTTATTTAATCCTCAAAATAGGATTAAATAAACCTACAACCTCAAGAGGAGCATTTAATCATCAGTAAGAAATTTATGACACTTATGTTAGCTGTGGTTATTTCAGCAATTTCTATTTTAGTTTAAGTGATGATGGTAAAGACAGTGACGATGGTGATGTTGGTGATGAGAAATGATGGAGCCGATGTCTGATTCCCCATGACGGAAGACTATTGATTGGCAAAGACATGTTTTTAATATCTAAGCATATAAAGAAAATGAGAGTGAATTTTAGGATTCTTCATGAGGGATAACCATATATAAATGTGAAACTGTTCAGAATTGCCAGAACATCTGTTTTATTTCCAGAGTTTTCTTTTTCCTTAGGCATACTTAAATTTTTTTCAGTAATATACAAAATGAAATTCAAATATATAGAAATCTTGTCAGTTCATATTTTTATAGATCCTTGTGGATTATCAGGTCTATTTTTTTTTTATTTTGAGACAGTCTTACTCACTCTGTCACCCAGGCTACAGTGCAGTGGTGTGATCTTGGCTCAGTGCAACTTCTGTCTCCTGGGTTCAAGCAGTTCTCCTGCCTCAGCTTCTCAAGCAGCTGGGATTACAGGTGTGTGCCACTACACCTTGGTGATTTTTGTATTTTTAGTAGAGACTGGGTTTCACCATGTTGGGTAGGCTGATCCACCCACCTTGGTCCCCCATAGTGCTGGGATTACAGCCATGAGCCACCACACCTGGCCAGATCTAATTTAAACATTAGGTAAACCATAGAGTGTTCTGCACTGTCTAAACATTGCTTGAAAAATGACATTAGAGTGAAAAGTTACAAATTCTAAATGTGTTTAAATATCTTAAATGTTTTTTCAGAGTTTGTTTTTATATTTTGAGATTTTTTTTGTTGTTAGCTACTGTATTTTGAAAAATTCATACAGTTAGAACTAGAGAGGAAGAGTAAGTAGTTATAAGATGATTAATTCCTACACTCTGCTATCAGTGATGCTTAGATTATGAGGGGGAAAGAAAAAACATACAGAGATCAAATGAGGAAATGGAGATGGGTGCAGGGAGTGGAATGTGAAAGAGTGGAGACATTTTAAACATGGAATGAATTAAGATCTGGGTTCTAAATGATAACACTGGTGTTAGTGGAACAGTGTTTAAATCACATGACAATATTATGGTTGCTGGATTTAGGGAAGCTTTGAAGGGATTCATTTCCATTGACCTTTTTTTTCCTAAGCTAAACATTTGTTCAGCTTTTACTTCTTGATGTGAAATATACTATTATTTTGAAAAAAAACACTTTTAACATCCCAATGTAGTAGGTACAACTATTAACCCAAATTTAGGAAGAGGACAGTAGGCTAAGAGATTTGAAGAAGAAAGTGTAGAAAGGAGGAGGAGTTATTTGTTTGAAACCCTCGATTTGTGAATGTATTTCTTCTACTTTTACTGTTTTTAAAATATCCCAGTCTCTCCCCTTATTGGCAGTTGACTTTATTAGGAGAAAAGTGTAAGCAGATGGAAAGAACTTCCCCCCTCTCCCCTTTACAGGCCTTGGAGATTTAGTGATAAATGCTGAGCTATATTTGAATACAAATCACTTCCTCTTGAAAAAGTCTGCTTTCTTGACACTCTGGCAGGATAGTTCATTGCTGAGTTGTTGTTGTTGTTTTTAATGAATTGCTGCTTTGTTTTCAGAGGCTGCTTGATTAACTTACTCTGTTTTAGAAGCTGCCACAGTGACATTAAAACGTCTTTTGGTTCCTGTTTTGGAAACATTTGGAAATCACTTGCTGCTGAAAGTTTTTAGTCTTTCTTTTCTTGTTGGTAGAATTTTCTGCATTTTTATTGTTGTAAATGACTTAGCCTATTCTTTAATTTTAAATGGATCACACAGTCATCTTTATGTGTCCAGCTGTCTTTTGTTGAAAGAGACATGTCTTAAATTGTTCACTGCTGAATTAGATTAAAATGACTTTGGTCTTATGCCATTAAAAAAATCTTTTGTTTGTCTTTTGTGGAGGCTCCATGCTCGTGAATTATAGCACATTGCTCAGACAGAGGAAACTTCTTTTCTTACTCTTCGGTACTGGGTACATTAGATTCCAAGCCAAAGTGAGCAACAGTCTGAGCCTCTTTCTAATAATTCCCTTGGGGACTAATATTCAAATAATTCTAATTTAAATCTAGGATTCTTACTCTAGTGGGAGTCAGGAGACTATTTAAGAATTTTATACCAGAGGAAAACAATGTGTGTGGATGCACACATGCACCGTTTTACAAACAATTTCAGTAGATTCATAGAAGCCTTGGGGCCTATCTATCTGTAGACCCAGGTTAGGAAAGTCTGCTCTAGTTATTTCTGGAGAATTTGATAAATTCAAGAACAAAAAGTCTCCAAATGGTGAGCTACATGACACTGTCCCACCCACCATTCCTCAAATTACATCACTCTCTACCTGCTACCCAAGCCAGAACCTTGGAATCCTCTTTCATCCTCCTCTTCCTTTTTGCCCCATTAGTAAGTCTTGTTACTCCTACCTCAAACTACATCTCAAATTTTCTGCATCTCCACTGCCACCACCATAGGCCAGGCCTGTTTTGAATCTTTTACCTAGTCTGAAGTAAAGATACTCCCAGTGGCCTTCAGCATTGCAAAGGGAACCCAGAATCTGTCAAATATCTCCACTCTCCACTGCCCAAAATGCTTCAGTGGCTTCCCCATGCATGGTGAATAAATCCAGACTGCTGACCAAGGCTACAGCGGGCCTGCAATCTTTCCTGAAGATCCAGTTAAACCAAGTGAACTGGGCCAAGTTCATGGCCAGCTAAGCTGGTTTGGCTTGTTACAGTCTTCCCCTTACACCTTTTCTTTCTCATCTCACCCCTTATTTTTCACAATAGTTATATGTCGCTTGCCTTTGTTCACCCTCTAGATTTCACACATTTGGAAGGGAGAGGATGACTATACCTGGTTGTGCTGTATCCTCAGTGTCTTATGTAATACTTGCCAGGTAGTCGACTCTTAACAAATATTTGTTGAATAAATACATTAAAAAACACAGAGTTCTTGCAAGTGTTTTTGCTTTATCCTTTTCTCTAATATTCTACTTTATGCTCTTTCACGAATTCATTCAGAAGTTCGTTCACTGAACACTTGCTGAATACCTCTCACTATAAGATACCCTGCCATCATTTATTTTAGGTTGCTTGATCGTGGAAGACTGAACTGGAGAGAGAAAGGTGTTGATTCATATTCTGTGAGAATGCCAAATTAGTGTAAGTATGTCTCTCATTTTTCTGAAATAAAGGATGTTTCTATTAACATTAATATCTGTCATAGGAGAGGGTTCAACATTGTTATTAACAAGAATAGAACAATGTTATCTTCAGATCTTTTCAAGCTTCACTGAGTTAATAGTTCTCAAGTTTTCCATTTAAGAGACATGCACTACTTTTGATGTGTGAAGGAAAGGCCAGTTTGTATTTATTTTTTCTATGCCTTTAGCTGGGTGTATTTTGTATTAGGAATTCACAATTGACCCTTTTTTTTTTTTTAACTGTTAAGTATATTTCTCTTAATGGTTTGCATTTAAGTAAGTTGAGGCTGGACTGGTTCACCGATCTCTTAAGAACCCACAGTATTGGGAGCATTTTGAAAAATTATTCATTAGAAAGAATTGTTTCCCAGAGTAAACAATGAATAAGCCTACATGACATTCATTCTTTCCCCAAATATTTATTAAAGGCCAATTCTATGTTAAGCTCTGTGTGTAGCACCAGGAATGCTAGCTGAGCCTGTCTATAAAGGAGTATTTTCTCTCTTCTAAGGATGCTTCATCTGCTAAGTACCACTCCTCCCTTTACTCTCCTCTCTCCCTTTCTCTCATTTCCTATTGTTTTTCCTTTTATATTTATAGTTGGGCTACTCTTTGCCTTCAGATGGCATCTGAACTGTGCTGCCTGGTTGCTCCATTGGCTTGGCCAACTTTATGGAAGATCTGATGGAAATCGGAATTCTTAGTGTCTCTTGAGTGGCATCAGCAAACCTAAATTTGGAATCCATGCTTTTCAAAACCTGATGGAGCTTGCGCTAGAAGAATCCTATCTATGTGGGAGCTGAGACCCACGTTTGTTTCACTCCAGCCACCCTATGGAAGTATGTGCCCAGGGCCCTTCCCTTGTTCACATACTAGTGAAATGAAACTGTGTATACGGTGAGGGTACCATTAAATTATTTGTGTTGGATGTGGTTTTCTAGATCTCCAGGGAATTGCAGATTTTTAGTATTAATTTCTAATCTATACTTCACTAAAAAGCTTTTCACAGAGTTTTTGAAATGATTCTCATAGCAAAGTATATCTGAAGTTTAAAATAATCTCTCCTTGGAGTTAGATTAAGGTATTTCTTTAGCTGCTGAGTGCACTTTATTTCTTCTATTGCCATACTCCTTCAACTCTTTTTTTTTTTTTGAGACGGAGTTTTGCTCTTGTTACCCAGGCTGGAGTGCAATGGCGTGATCTCGGCTCACTGCAACCTCCGCCTCCTGGGTTCAAGCAATTCTCCTGCCTCAGCCTCCTGAGTAGCTGGGACTACAGGTGCGCACCACCATGCCCAGCTAATTTTTGTATTTTTAGTAGAGACTGGGTTTCACCATGTTGACCAGCATGGTCTCGATCTCTTGACCTTGTGATCCACCCGCCTCGGCCTCCCAAAGTGCTGGGATTATAGGCGTAAACCGCTGCGCCTGGCCACTCCTTCAACTCTTAACCTCTGCGAGCATTTTTACATGTTCATTTTCATATTGGTGTGTTCCCATTCTCACGTTTACACATTATGGACAGACTCTTTTGAGTGACAGTTAATTTTCCTTTTCAGTACTCTCCTAACCAGAATTAACTAAATTCTAGACACTTCTGTATATCTCTAGGACAATAGCAATAATAATAGATTTTCATAATGGTTACTGTGAGACATTGCAAATCCCAGGAATGACTTTATGTCATTAAGAAAGGGGGAGAGGGAGTTCTTGAAAAAACATTTTTTATTGCTTTCTGATTGAAGAATGGCAGCTACTTGGTATAAATGCTAGTATTTTTTCCTCCCTCATGGCAGTCAAAACTAATAAATTCCTCAGTTCTTTCCTCCCGGTCCTTATCAGAGCTTCAGAATCCTCTTCAACATGCTGCTCTAAGTAACTACTGCAACTTGGTGGAGTTAGCACAAGAGGTAAAACCTATTTAAGAATAGACTGCCCCAGCACTTTGGGAGGCCAAGGTGGGCAGATCATGAGGTCAGGAGATTGAGACCATTCTGGCTAACACAGTGAAATCCTGTCCCTACTAAAAATACAAAAAAATAGCCAGATGTGGTGGCAGGTGCCTGTAATCCCAGCTACTCAGGAGGCTGAGGCAGGAGAATTACTTGAACCCAGGAGGCAGAGGTTGCAGTGAGCCACGATGGTGCCACTGCACCCCAGCCTGGGAGACAGAGTGAGACTCTGTCTCAAAAAAAAAAAAAGAACGAACTTGCCCTAGTCACTGTGACCACAGTGATCAGAGGCCCCTGCTGACCTGTAATTCAGGGTCCTACTGCCAGAGCAGCTACCATGGCAAAGCATTGCTGCTTGTCTTGGTGAAGGAAATAAAGCTTTTGGTCACATACTAGCAGTTAAGGGCTTTAGCCCAGAAGTGACATCTATCATTTTTGCTCACAGTTACTTGACCTGTGTTTGTTGAGCTTCGCCCAACTGCAAGGGCCCAGAAGGCCTACCATATGCCCAGACATGCAGTAACCTGAACTGTTTGGCAAACAGCACTAATGACTGCCATTTCCCATTTGATGTATTTTAAGGCTCAACTTCTCAGCATATTTCATTTCACAGAATGCTCTCTTTCTCTGCCCATGTGATTCATAGGACGTGTATTCAACTTTTTGTTTGAAAACCAAAAAACTTCTTCAGGCCTCTCTACGTTTTAGGAAACGATGCTGAAGATTTCCAAAAAACATCCTCTGAAGCATATGTCCTATGTAGGGTTCTACAATGTTAATAGCAATAATAAATAGTAATTACTTTATAGTTAAGCAAATTGGAGCAATGCTGCATACTATTGCTTATTTTTGAGAAGTCAGAATGCATATTAAGTACAGCAAATATTCTGATGAATACTGCAGTAAAGCGAGCTACTTTACTTCATTTCATCCAGTGTTCCTAAATCTTTGACTACACAATTTTTTCTTCATGATGTCTAATGACATCCCATGGAAGCAGTGCTCTAGTATCCCACTCTAGTAAATACTGGAGTAGGTATTATACATGGAGACTTCTGTAACCCGGAGAGGCTTTGAAATAGCATGGAGAATGTAATAGCATTGTGACACATTCCACTTGCCAGGATTTTCACTTAATAGCTACGTGACTTTGGTCATGCAGTATAACTTCTTGGCCTCAGCTTCTAAATCTGGACATTGGGAGGTGATATTATCTAACTCAAAGGGTTATTGATTGTGGCTAGCCCATAGTAGGCAGCAAACAAATGTATGTTGTTTCCTTCCTTTAATGTTACCATTTACTTCTTTCCCATGTACTTAGTTTAGATGAGCATATTTTTTTCCAGATATGATGCTCTTATCTGAATCAGAATAGGATTCCTTTGCCTTGAAAAGTTCATAGAAAAATGTATGAAATTCAACCAAAGAATCTGTACCAGAATGCTGTCAGGCTGCAGGCTCCTTTTTCAATTTACTTTCTTTGAAAGACACCTGTTTACTTCTCTCTTTAAAAGTGATTCTTACTTTTGAGCATCCAGATCAGTACAGGAGTTTTGAGGGCAGCTCAGGGCATGCTGCCTAGAAAAGGATACCTGGCTTCTCTTCCTCCAGGTGACCAAAGACTCATCATATCTCTGACCCAAAGCATATCCCAGGGCAAAACATGAGATAGTGGATATTTGTGAGATGCTTGCCTTGAGAACCAGCTCTGAGCAGAGTACTATCATTATCTTAATCACACTGCTCTGGAATTTATCATATTCTGGAAATCACATTTGCTTAAAATTACATCCATGTCATTTATGCTTATGGTTGATGAATATCCCATGAACCCTTTATTGAGTTACTGAAATGAGTATGTTAATACCCAGTGAAAAAAGGTGTGGCCCAAACTAGCAAGATGCTTCTTCAGAATTGTATTTATTAATGTTTCAGGGTGATGGTTCTACCTTTCTGATATGAAAATTCACCAAAGTGCTTACATTGTGAATAGATTACACTTTGAGATGCCATCTACTTTGACTCAAAGCTCTGTAACTGTGCTATTTAAATCAATTAATTTGAATATTTTCTTGAAAAGTAGCTCACAGTCCATCCTGCTGTTGTTTTGTGAAGTGACATTAAGAATTGTTTTAAACATTTACAAGGCCTAGGAGTGTTTGTTACAGCAAATAACGAATTATATAGGGTCTGCAGTGCAAGCTGGAATGTTCCTCGCTTATCACTAACTACTTACAGATCTGCAGTAGGGATGAGTACAATCTCTTCTTTTTTATTACTTCAGAAGAATGGCTAATTTTATGTTTGTATTATTTGATACTGCCTTACTTCATATTAATATATACACAGGCTAATCAGCCGCATCCAAGTCAATGCTATTTTGACGATCTGCTTTATTTTGGTGACTTCTATATTCTGAATCCCTAGAATATATCAGATATAGAAAACTAAATGGGGGCAGGTCTGAGCAACTCTGATCATAATATTCTGCTCTCGTCTTTAATTAATCATCTGAATCAGTACATTTCCATTTCTCTGTCAGTGTTCTATATTTAAATATTTCATATTTGTCATAGAAATCCTCCTAAAATTATCTTTAATCATCAATTATTATCCTTGATGAGCACATTTTGAACTTACCAAATTTATTTTGAATAAAAATGTGGCAGTATAATGGAAATTTTATGTGGTTGGGCAGATTCTCACTTTTGCAGCATCTCCCTTAGTTCTGACTCCACCAGGCTTTTGTGGTTCATGAGGCAGTATGGGAGGCCACAGAAATGGCACATGCATCTCATGTCGCGTGCTCATTCTCACTGGTGGTGATTGCTCAGAGGTTGCATTGGCAAGGATTTTGGGACACTCTGGTTGAAGGAGATGATTCTGTGATTGATTATTGATGTCTGCTATAAGTTTAGCATTGGAAAATAGGGGCAGATGTGCAGTGTAACAGAAAGAGCTTTGGGTGGAGAAGCCGAACAATTGAGTTTCAATCCCAATCGTGCTCCTAACTGTGTGACTTTGAACAAATCAAGTAACCTTTCTAGCCCTATTTTTTAAAATCTGACAGCCAAGGTGTTGGAGTAGGTGATGTTTAAGATCCATCTCGGTCAGGTGGAGTGGCTCATGCCTGTAATCCCAGAGATCGAGGTGGTGAGATCACTTGAGATCGGGAGTTCAAGACCAGCCTGATCAACATGGAGAAACCCCGTCTCTACTAAAGATACAAAATTAGCTGGCCATGGTGGTGCATACCTGTAATCCCAGCTGCTCTGGAGGCTGAGGCAGGAGAATTGCTTGAACCCAGGAGGTGGAGGTTTTGGGGAACTGAAATCACATCATTGTACTCCAGTCTGGGCAGCAAGAGCAAACCTCCGTCTCAAAAAAAAACTTATCTCAACTCTAAAATGTCATCCTGTATTTACTCACTAGGGCAGCCAAGATACATTGGACACCTTGTTAATTTTTACAACATCCTTGGAACTTTCTGGGGTCCATACCCCTTTTGACTGTCATCTTTACACTCCTTTTATTAAAAAACAGAATATCTCCCCCTTGAATCTGGGTTTTGACTAGTACAATGTAGGACAATGTAAGCCTTAAGCAACCTCAGAGATTCTGCATCTGTTGGGATGGAAGAGCATGTAGAGTGAAGGGCCTAGTGAACCCAGCCTACCTTCCATCTGAAAGCAGTTGCATGAGTGAGTCCAGGTAAGACCCTCAGCAAAAACCATCCATATAGACTTATGGTGGTGAAACCTATCAATGTTGTTTTTTTGTTTTTGTTTTTTTTAAGGCAGAGTCTCGCTCTTGTTGCCCAGGCTAGAGTGCAAGAGTTTTACTCTTGTCACCGAGGCTGGAGTGCAATGGCACAACCTTGGCTCACTGCACCCTCTGCCTCCCAGCCTCCTGAGTATCTGGGATTACAGGCACCTGCCACTATGTACAGCTATTTTTTATTTATTTATTTTTTGAGATGGAGTGTCGCTCTGTTGCCAGGCTAGAGTGTAGTGGCCTGATCTTGGCTCACTGCAATCTCGGCCTCCTGGGTTCAAGCAATTCTCTTGCTTCTGCCTCCTAAGTATTTGGGATTACAGGCATGTGCCACCATGCCCAACTAATTTTTGTATTTTTGGTAGAGATGGAGTTTCACCATGTTGGCCAGGCTGGTCTTGAACTGACCTCATGATCTGCCCACCTCAGCCTCCCAAAGTGCTGAGATTACAGGTGTGAGCCACCACACCCGACCCTATCAATGTTGTTTTAAGCCTCTATGATTTGGGGTAGTTTATCATGCAGCAGTAGGTAAGTCATACAGATACTGGAGGTCAGTCGGTGGCTCTCCTGTATCTAGAAGGTCTGAGATATCTCCGACAGCTTCATATGCCTTAGATCTTCATACTGCCACTCAGTAGGCTAACTGGGATTTTTCATAGCATGTTGGTCTCAGGGTTCCAAGAGATCAATAATCAGAAGTTTCAATGTTGCTTAAGGCGTAACCTTGGAAAGTCACACAGCATCACTCCTATAGATTGGCTATTTGACCCTCCGAACCTCATGGTGAAATTTGATCCCTGACATTGGAGGTAGGGTCTGTTGGAAAGTGTTTGGGTCATGGGGGCAGATCTTTCATGAATCATTTGATGCCACCTTTGTGGTAACCAGTGAGTTTTCTTCTGCTTCGTTAGTTCCCACAAGAGCTGGTTGTTGAAAAGGGTCTGGCACCTCCCTCCTGTCTCTCTTGCCTCCTTTCTCACCATCTGATCTCTGCAGACTGTTTCCCTTTCCACTTCTCCCATGAATGGAAGCAGCTTGAGGCCTTCACCAAATGCAGATGCCAGCATCATGCTTCTTGGACAACCTTCAGAATTGTTAGCCAGATAGACCTCTTTTCTTTATAAATTAGCCAGCTTCAGCTATTCTTTCATAGCAACACAAACACAAAGTAACGCAAACACTTTCACAGTATTCCACTGATTAGAGCAAGTCTCAAGGCCAGCCCAGATTCAAGGGGAGGGGAAATAGACTGCAACTCTTGATGGAAAGAGTGGTAAAATCACAGAGCAAAAGGGTGTGTAGTATGGGAGAAATTCTTGTGCTTATGTTTGCAAATAGCAAACCACACCAGTTATGAGAAAGTCCATAATTCTCAGTATTTAGACTGTCCAACAAGCAGTAGATTCAGTGTGTCTGACAACCTGACCCAGTGATAGAGGCTACAGTATCTAAACATTCTCAGGAGTCTGGCCTATGATGGAGCCCAAGTCACCTTGAAGCAACAAGTCAGGATGAAGAAGGGCCAAAATGCCAACTTTGTGTCTTTCTTTACTACTTCCAACTCAGGCAAGCTGGTACTCTCATTTTTGATCTTCTTCCATCTCTCTGTTAGGATGAAGGCATACTCACTGCCCAGTGCTGAGGCATCCTTACAATGTGGCATTGCAAGTCTCATCAGCCTTCTTTTTCCAAGGTTATTTGTTTCTCAAGCCTGTAGCATGTTTGTACCGTATCCTTCTATTTTATGAAAACTGTGGTTCCCTTCTATGAACAGAGTGACTCTGGGGAATGCAGGGCACAGTTCTAATAAGAGGATAGGCAGAAATGGAGTCATGAATGCTCTAACAAGCATAATATCGCAGCGTTATCGTTAATAACATGAACTTTAGAATCGGACAGACTTGGGTTGAATTCTAGTTTTAATCTCATTTTGAGTGTGCTGGCCTGGCAAGCTTCTAATTTTGTATAAGAAATTGTTGCATATAATTTATCTTCAACATGAGAATTATAATAGCATTAATAGTTCATGGGTTTGTTGCAAAGATTAAGTAAGAGTGTATATGAAAATGATGGCCAGGTACAGTGGCTCATGCCTGTAATCGCAGCACTTTGGGAGGCCGAGGCAGGCAGATCACGAGGTGAGGAGATCAAGAGCATCCCAGTCAACATGGTGAAACCCCGTCTCTACCAAAAATACAAAAATTAGCTGGGTGTGGTGGCGCATACCTGTAGTCCCAGCTGCTCAGGAGGCTGAGGCAGCAGAATTGCTTGAACCTGGGAGGCAGAGGTTGCGGTGAGCCGAGATCGCACCACTGCACTCCAGCCTGGGCAACAAGAGTGAGACTCCGTCTCCAAAATAAAAAAGTGAAATGGTGATTTGGGCCAAAGAAAGAATGCTTAACAACTTTCTTTGAAGCTAACCTTAAGTTGCATGTCCATTTTCAAGGACAGATTTTGGTCTAGATGTGGAGAAATGGTTCTACTTTAAAAGGCGGAGAGCGAGATGAGATGGAAAGGTTTATATGTCACCCGGAGGCAGAATTTGATCTGGCCTGTACTGACGCCTACCAATAGCATTCATCTCTCTCTGTTGTAATGATCTGTCTCTACTGTATGACAGTTTGGGACATTAGAGTGTATACTCTTCAAGGTCAGCTACTCTGGCCTAGCGATCTTAGCATCCTAAATCTCAGCACAGACCCCAGATTAAGAGGAGACTCCAGTGTTGCGATGGATGTGTGAGTAGGTTGCCAGCCCAATCCACTGGTTGAATCACTCCCCATTTTTAAAGTTTAGTTTAAATCTCATCTGCTCTAAGAAGCTGTCTTTGGTTTTCATCTACTGTGAGAAATCTCCTGGTCAACTATACAACCTAAATTATAACTATTGACCTTCTTTTCCTTTAAAAAGTATTATTACTTAAAAAAAAAGTCTCTCCTATAGATTATAGGGAGAAGTGGTAACCAGTGTCACAAGTTTTCACACATGATGTGTACTGGATAAAGCATTTATTAAATTCTATACAGTAAGTTTAATTGAAAATTATCATACATGTTGTTTAAGAAATCTTAGCAGACGTGATAATCTCAAGCAAACAGGACCCAGAAGTAAATGTGTCCTTATAGCCTATGTATAATATGGAATTTACCCATTAACAAGGCCTACGAGGCTCCAAATTAAATTATATTGCATCTGTGATACTATTTTAAAGCAAGTGGCGTATAAACAGTGGCATTAGAATTACAAAAGCTATCTGCTGAAGTAGTTTGCTTTCCCTGAGTTGTTTTTCTAGGAGCAGCCACAAACAAGCAAAATTGACAAATAATAAGATTTTTTTATGGCATTAAAAAAAAAAAAACCTTTGGGATGCCATTGATATTACTAAATTTACATTAGATACAAAAGTTGTCTGATTCATTCCACCAGTTTACACAGTAAGCCACTGTGTTAGTGAAATATCTTCCTTCCTCACGGAGTTGCTGTGTGCGGATGAAGGCTAATACGGCTCTTAGGGATATTGCTGGAAGCTTGCATGGTTGTCATCCTTGCTGTGGTTCGGTAAAGTCAGGTGTAAGGGAGAGTGGAATTTAAAGCAGGGAGGAGGATGACGGGGAAGGGTCCCTTTTAACAGAAAAAGCAACTTCCTGGGAGTGGAGGCTGGCAATCTGCTCAAAGGAAATGAAAAGGAAATTCTTCATTTCTAAATGGTTCATTGACCCATGATAATAAAGCAGGCCTGCCAAAGACAGATCATTATCTTTTTAAGTGTCAGATGCCCTGTGGGTGAAGGCCTCCCTTCTCCTGTCTTGAAAAATTAACTCTGATTTTAGAAATACTTCTTTTCCTAGTTTACCATTGACATGAATTTCCTGATTATGAGCAAAACTAATCAGTTTCCTCTTTCTTTTCCCATTTCTCTTATGGAAATTGGCTCTCACCAGCTGAGCTCAGTGTATTTCCCCTTGGGCTCTGAGTTCCACCAGTAGTGGAGTGGGGTTGATATTCTAGTGAGACTAGCAATTGCAGTATTATGGTTTTATTATGCCCCTTAGCTGCTTACCTCCAGGCAGGAGCATGCTGTCTTCAAACAAGGAGAAGAAAGAAACAGAAAAAGGTATAAGAGTTTGTTTCTCTTGTTAGTATCTAAAAACTAAACAAGCATTCATATATACATTGTGTGTGTATATTCACACATTTCATACATATATGTATAGGAACTGAAATGTTATTGATTGTGTAACCATGAATATTAATTTGCTATCAAGAAATAATCAAATTTCTATCCTTTTTTCTCTGGATGTCATTGTTTTCTGAGACCAATAATGTAAATATGTTGCCTTGTCTAAGTTGTAGAATACATTAAGAATGGTTTGTTGGGCCAGGCACGGTGGCTCAAGCCTGTAATCCTAGCACTTTGGGAGGCCGAGGTGGGTGGATCACGAGGTCAAAAGATCGAGACCATCCTGGTCAACATGGTGAAACCCCGTCTCTACTAAAAGTACAAAAAATTAGCTGGGCATGGTGGCGCGTGCCTGTAATCCCAGCTACTCAGGAGGCTGAGGCAGGAGAATTGCCTGAACCCAGGAGGCAGAGGTTGTGGTGAGCCGAGATCACGCCATTGCACTCCAGCCTGGGTAACAAGAGTGAAACTCCATCTCAAAAAAAAAAAGAATGGTTTGTTTGTATAACCAGACAGCCTCTTTCCATCGTGATTTACCTTCAAATGTCTTCTTGGATTATAAAAAAAATATCGGTCTGAGGAACCCTTGTCATAAATTCTTTAACCACATGGCACATCTCTTAGTTATAGATAATGTTGACTGTGTATTTTCAGAATGTCTACAACTCTTTTAAAAATAAAATAAACATCTACTTATGTATGCTGACTGCATAGTTCTCTTATTTCTCTAAAGAGATAATTTAAATTAAAAATTTATCACCATATTCTACCTAGAGAAACCAACTGGATATTCCAGTTCCTTCTTCAACCTAGTGCTTTTGGGTGCTGAAGAGGACATAGTTTTAGAATAGGGGTCAGGAGATAATGATCTAGAGTAGAACTTGCCTCCTGGCATAATTCTCTCTCCACACACTTGAGTGTCTCTGAACACTGATGTCCCTTTCTCTTATGAGAAATTCTTCTGTGTACCACAGCTTCTCCTTCAAAGTGTAATTACCCATGTTTGTAAGCTTTCGTTGAACTCTTTGGAGTTCAGTGGATGGTAAATATTTGTTTCTTCATTCCTTAGTCTTTGACAGTTCAGGCTCTGGTCCAAGGGGATTCATTCCTATGGGTATAAACTGCTTGGTAAGAACACTACCCAAAGCCATCAACATGGCCCTTAACAGACCTTGCTACAGATGTCCTCGTGTGTCCGCTGAGGCCAGTGGAGCGCTTCTGTGACCTGCGTCCTGATGAAGTGGCTGATTTGTTTCAGGCGACCCAGAGAGTTGGGACAGTGATTGAGAAACATTTCCATGGGACCTCTCTCACATTTTCTATGCAGGTGAGTGTACAGATTATTCAGAAATGATTTTTCTTCCTTTTCAAATCCCAGCATTGGGCTTGCTCCTCCTAACATCTTACCAGGAAGGCAGATGTGATTATTTGTATTTCATGTAGCAGCCAAAAAAGACATTACTAATGCAGGACAGCCTTACTATCCATCGGCCTCAAGGTGGACATGGAATAGTGTCCAAGATGATGTCTGAGGCTTGTTTATCAAGCAGGTGGGAGTAATGGATAAGTGATTTAATGGATATTTGGACATTCAGTCATTACAGATTGCTTGGAACTGGGACTGGAGAAACCATTTTCATTCCATGGTAAATAATTTTTGAACACTGCACGGACCAAGCCTTGCTCTAATTTCAGGTAGCGGTGATATGCCACTTAGGTTGGACCTTACCTTTTCTCTATCTTTAATTCACGCTACAGAGATTAATCACAGATTGACTGGTTGGGTGTGGCCCACTGACCAGTAAAGAGATCAGATCCCCGGTCACTGGAGACTTTTAGGCAGAGGTTGAGCTAACACTTCTCAGGTTGGGAGAAGGATGACCATGGTGAGTCCTTAGTGGAGAAGTGAGTAAATCCATAGTAACATACCATGAGCTCCTTCAGGACCTCTGTGGAAATGGCTGGGGTAACAATGCATAAAGTCCTTCATGGCTTTGAAGTTGGATGACTTTGTAATTGCTCTTTGGAAGGAAAGTCTTTTTTTTTTGGAGAAGTCTCACTATGTTGCCCAGGCTGGAGTACAGTGATGCGTATTAGCTCATTGCAACCTCTGCCTCCCAGGTTCAGGCCATTCTCCTGCCTTAGCCTCCAGAGTGGCTGGAATTACAAGCACCCGCCACCATGCCCAGCTAATTTTTTTTGTATTTTTAGTAGAGATGGGGTTTCACCATGTTGGCCAGGCTGGTCTTGAACTCCTGACCTTGTAATCCACCTGCCTCAGCCTCCCAAAGTGCTGGGATTACAGGTGTGAGCCACTGGGCCTGAACAAAGGAAACTCTATCAAAATGTGAGGACTCTGTACTCAGTCTGTGTGTTAAACTGAATGTTTGCCATTCTTCCTCCCCTCCCCAGCTCTCTACCATAGAGCGTCAAAGAGACTAGATAAAGAAAGCCAGTGTGCTCAGGTTATAAAAGCTCTGACTAAAAGTGCTCATTTTCTTCTCAAATAGATTTTTTTTTTTTTTTTGCTGCCTTGTCTGTGTTAAGAGTAGCCAACTTCCCCCAAATGCCTTGTATGTGTGTGTGTTGTGTGTCATACCATTTGAGTCACCTTTAGGCAGGTAGTTTAGCCCAGAGTGGGTTAATCAAGCTTATGTTACAAACTGTGTTTCTCTAGAGACCAAATTAAGACAGTGAATGAAAACTCTGTCAGTGTTTAGTGAGATACAAGATAAAATCACATTTATAAGGAAATGGTCATTGCTGGTTATGAAACATGTTTCACTACAAAGTTAATTCCATAAATGTAAGAGCTGACTTGTGATATCACCTAGATTACTTTCGTATATGCAATGTGGTCAAACTTGTTTTTTTTTTTTAACTATAACCTACAGTAAGATATATATTCCCTGATACGCATATATGAAATATATGCATATATCTATATTGATAAAGGAAATCAGAGTTTCACAAAACAATGTTTACTCATGTGCAGTCTAATAGTTTTTATTCTATTAAGATCTGATTTCTGGTTGGATGTGGTGGCTCATACCTGTAATCCCAGCACTTTAGGAGGCCAAGGCTGGCAGATCCTTCGAGCTCAGGAGTTTGAGATTAGCCTGGGCAACATGGCAAAACCCTGTCCCTACAAAAAATACAAAAATTAGCTGGACGTGGTGGTGCATGCCTGTAGTCCCAGCTACTTGGGAGACTGAGGCAGAAGAATCACTTGAGTCCAGGAGGTCAAGGCTGCAGTGAGCCACCATCATGCCATCACACTCTAACCTGGCCAACTGAGTTAGACTCTATCTCAAAAATAAAATAAAATAAAATCTGATTTGTTTTGTTTATAATGCTGATTGCAACCCACTAAGCTGACTTAATGACCCACGAATGGGTTGTGACTCTAAGTTTGAAAATCCCTGATATCCACAGTTCTGCTTAATCGTTGCCACAGCAGGGCAGGAGTTCTCACCCCATTAGTTAGGCTCGTAGAGGTAGACAGACCTGGCTAAAGCTGCAGAGGCCAAATTCTGTTTCGGAATTTCTGACTGTGGAGCCATTGCCTGTTTTGCCATCTCAGCCAGCTGAGTATCTGCTTTTGTTTTGTATTGTGGCTGGTGACTAGGTGAGTTTGCTCATTTTCAGCTAAGCTTCAGAAGCAGAGAGGGAACTAGGTTAGGAAAAGGGTCCAACTAGAATGAACACTACCATTTGTCTTCGCCAAGGTCAGAATAGCCAGAGAGGACGCTTCCCATATGAAATACCCCATATTCTTGCTTAATGGCTTATGTTCATAGCAGATTTCCTGAGTAGAAGCTTAAAGTAATCAGGCATTAATTAGACCACATCTAAAGATAACCAAAAGGTGTGATACTTCACCTCCCCAAACATTTTCAGCCTTCCCTTAATGCAATTAAAACCATAGCCAAGAGCAAAGAGCATGAAAAGTAGCAAGGAGTTGGCTTGCTGGAGAATTTATATCATTTTTATACATAACTTCTCACTTACTCTCAGGCGGAAATGGAGAACTGTCTAGTCCCACACATTTGAAGTCGATGGTCCCCATGGGAATACTATAAATTAACACACAATGAAATTGCATCTAAATTATTAATGGGTGATATTTCTGAATAAAGGAGATAACATCTATCTATTCTCACCTCTGTTGGTTTTTTTCCTACTTCTAGGATGGCCCCGAAGCCGGACAGACTGTGAAGGTGAGTGCTTATTATGTGCATACAAATTAATAAGGGGCGATTATGAGCACTAATAAAAAATCACAACGAGTCATTTGCAGCACGTTGCTGTTTCATTATGCTATCTTGGAGGTCAGAGAGACCCTCAGTGTTAGAGCCATAAATCCTGACATCATAAACTGTGCCAAACAATATGTTTCCCATTAGTTTACAAGACATTTACCTTTAGTAGTAAAATTACTATAGTGCAAATGCTAAAACAGAAACTAAATCAAGGAGTCCAGAAACAGATGTCAAAGGAGTTCATGTGAGGGAGTCTCTAGGAAATAGTATCTGAATTTCATGTGGATTTTGTGGCCCCGTGTTAAACCTGGGGTGTCTTTGACACACATTCTTTTTTTTTTTTTTTTTTGAGACGGAGTTTCGCTCTTGTTACCCAGGCGGGAGTGCAATGACGCAATCTTGGCTCACTACAACCTCCGCCTCCTGGGTTCAGGCAATTCTCCTGCCTCAGCCTCCTGAGTAGCTGGGATTACAGACACGCGCCGCCATGCCCAGCTAATTTTTTGTATTTTTAGTAGAGATGGGGTTTCACCATGTTGACCAGGATGGTCTGGATCTCTTGACCTCGTGATCCACCCTCCTTGGCCTCCCAAAGTGCTGGGATTACAGGCTTGAGCCACCACGCCCAGCCACGTTGGCTTCTTTACACAGTCTTGCTTTTGCTTCCTTGTTTTTGAGATTGTTCTTGAGTGATGGGATAACCACAGCAGTAGCATCAAGGTGCCTCCCTTCCTTCCTGTCTTTGTGCTTCTCTCCATTCTCCTTCTCTTCACCCCCCACACCTACTCTTTTCCTCCCTGTATACTTAATACCAAAGTTCAAACCTAATGGAGTCAGTGGAGCTCAAAGATGGGTTTTTAAGTGTGCTAGGAGAAGAAAGGACGATTTATTAGGATAGTCTCTGTTTCTGTAGTAAAAATAAAATAATAAAATCCTGGCTGATTCAGAAGCTGGATTTCAGCTCTTTTCATGCAAATGCAAATTCCTATGCAGGTAGCTGCTGTACCTAAGTCAAAGAAAAGGCTCTATTGTTGGTGCTAGAAGTCAGAAGCAAGTCAGGGTGGGATGTTAATGTTATACATTGTTGAAGTAAAGTTTAATGGTGCTAAGACTAGCTGTGAGTGGATAAGGGGTTGCCCGCACAAACAATGCCAAGTAAATGTTAAGTTCTCTTTTGATCTTGCTTCACTTTTGACTTTAACACAGCTATTCTGGGACTTTTAAAATAGAATCTCTGGGCAGTACCTCTAAGGAATGAAAGTTATGTAGGGACTGCCACCCTATGGGCCACCAAATTCCTTATCATAAAAAAGGGCTGGCCTCCCAATTGCTCTAGACACAGGGTGTGGTGATAGAAAAAGAGACTTTCAGCTTTCCTGTGGGCCACTGTCTCACCCTCATGTGAGGCTCTAAATATACAGATGCAAAGAAAGGATTTAATACCTGTGGCTTCTTTTTGAAATCAGTTCTTGAAATGCAAAACATGAATGTTTAAACTTGCTTCCCAGGTTTTTTTAAAACTCAGGGTTCACATATAAATTCTGACTCTACCGGATTAGTTAGATGCACTATGCAATATCTATTTGCTGGAATTCCTTCAGCCATTGAAAGTGATACTGTAGAGGCATAGCTAGTGACATGGGAGAGTGCACAATCTGTATTAAGTGGAATGCACAGAATGATAATAGGTACATAATAAGCATAGCTAAAACTTATATGAATAAATAGGTTATATGATCTCAATTTTCATTTAGCCAGTCTAAAGGGGGACGGAAAATATTTGCTGTACAACAGGCTCTGAATAGAAGTAGAATGTAGATTATTGGTTGCTAGGGACAGGGACTGGGACAAGGAGGGAATGGGGAATGATTCCTAATGGGTACAGGTTTGTTTTTTTTTTTTAAGAAAGAAAGAAAGAGAAACAGAAGGGGGGAGAGAGAACAGGAGTCTTGCTCTATTGCCCAGGCTGGAATGCAATCTAAAAATAGATATTAAAAACCTCTTTTATGCTGATAATTGTGCTTAACAGCAGAGACAGGAAGGAATAAGGGAAGAAAATAAGAAACAGCCAACCAATATTTCATTTAAGTCTGTGAAATGCTATGCAATTGCTGAAGTGATTTACTTCCAATTATGTGGTCACTTTGAAAACAGCTGTAATGTGATACTGAGAAAAATGTATGTTCTGTGGACCTGGGGTGAAGAATTCTAAAAATATTCACTGAGTTTACTTGTTCCAGGTCTGAGTTCTAATCATAGATGTCCCTGTTAATTTTCTATCTCATTGATCCGTCAAATATTAACAATGTGGTGTCAAAGTCTCCCTCTGTTATTGTGCGGGAGTCCAAGTCTCTTTATAAGTCATTAAGAACTTGTCTTATGTATCTGGGTGCTCCTATATTGGGTGCGTATATATTTATAATCATTGACTCCTGTTGTTGCATTGATCCTTTTGCCATTATGTAATGTCCTTCTTTGTTTCTTTTAGTCTTTGTTACCATTAAAGTCTATTTTGTCAGAGACAAAAGTTACAACTCTTGTTTTTTTTGTTTTTTTTTTTTTTTTTGAGACAGAGTTTCGCTCTTGTTACCCAGGCTGGAGTGCAATGGCGCAATCTCGGCTCACCGCGACCTCCACCTCCTGGGTTCAGGCAATTCTCCTGCCTCAGCCTCCCGAGTCGCTGGGATTACAGGCACGTGCCACCATGCCCAGCTAATTTTTTGTATCTTTAGTAGAGACGGGGTTTCACCATGTTAACCAGGATGGTCTCGATCTCTTGACCTCGTGATCCACCCTCCTCGGCCTCCCAAAGTGCTGGGATTACAGGCTTGAGCCACCGTGCCCGGCCCCAACTCCTGTTTTTTTTTTTCTCTCCATTTGATTGGTGAGTCTTCCTCCAGTCCGTTGTTTTGAGTCCTTGTGTGTCCTTGCTTATGAGATGGATCTGGATACAGCATACCAATGGGTTTTGACTTTTTATTCAATTTGCCTGTCTGTGTCTTTGGGGCATTTAATCCATTTAAATTTAGGATTAATATTGATATTTGTGAGTTTAATATTGTCATTTAATGCTATCTGGCTATTTTGCCCATGAGTTGATATAGATTCTTCATTATGGAGATACTCTTTACCTTTTGGTAAGTTTTTGGGATGACTGATACTGGTTGTTCCTTTCTATGTGTAATGCTTCTTTCAGAAGCTCTTGTAAAGCAAGCCCGGTGGTGATAAAATCTCTGAGTGCTTGCTTGTTAGCAAAAAATTTTATTTTTCCTTCATTTATGAAGCTTAGTTTGGCTGGATATGAGATTCTGGGTTGAAAATTATTTTCTTTGAGGATATTGACTATTGATCCCCACTCTCTTCTAGTTTGTAGGGTTTCTGCTGAGAGATCTGCTGTGAGTCTGACAGTCTTTCCTTTGTGGGTAACCTGACCTTTCTCTCTAGCTGCCCTTAGAATTTTCTCCTTTATTTCAACCCTGGTGAATCTAACGATTATATGTCTTGGGGTTGCTCTACTTGAGGAATATCTTTGTGGTGTTCTCTGTATTACCTGGAGTTGAGTATTGTCCTGCCTTACTAGGTTGGGAAAGTTTTCCTGAATAATATCCTGAAGAATATTTTCCAGCTTGGATTCATTCTCTTCATGACATTCAGGTACACCTATCAAAGGTAAATTAGGTCTTTTCACATAGTCCCATATTTCTTGGAGACTTTGACAAGTTTCTTTTAGGGTAATGAAAACGTTGTGGACTTAGTGGTGATGTTTGTGTAACATTGTGAATATAATAAAGTCACTGAATTGTACACTTAAAAAGGATGAATTGGGGCTGGATGTGGTGGCTTACATCTGTAATCCCAGCATTTCGGGAGGCCAAGGCAGGCAGATCACGAGGTCAGGAGATCGAGACCAACCTGGCTAACACAGTGAAACCCCATCTCTACTAAAAATACAAAAAATTAGCTGGGCGTTGTGGTGCACGCCTGTAGTCCCAGCTACTCTGGAGGCTGAGGCAGGAGAATCGCTTCAACCCAGGAGGCAGAGGTTGCACCAAGCTGAGATGGCACCATTGCACTCTAGCCTGGTGACAGTGAGACTCTGTCTCAAAAGAAAGGGTGAATTTTATGATATTTGAATTATCTCTTGACTAAAAATAATCAACACACACAAAGAACAAACAAGCATTAAATCTAGCTGGACTGATAACCATGGCTGTAGACTGTGTAACTCCCACAGTAATTACTTTTTGAGGTCCCAATTATCTGGCCTAAATTTGTGATGTTTTTGTTAGCTTTGATGGTGATGCTGACGGACTGATTCTTAACATACCATTCTTACATACGCGTTGTTGAATATGCGTATTATTATCACCACCAGGATTATTTAGCTTGTTTATTTTTTAAAAACAATTCTGTTTTTTAACTCAGCAGATTATGTTGTCTTGCACATCTTTCAATTGTTTAACCTGATCACAGAAGTCCCCTGATGTGAATGAATGGGGCTGTCTAGAATCATTTGTAGAATATGGTGGTTAAAAGTAAAACCACCACACACACACACACACACACACACACACACACACAAAATCCCAGTGAACAATGAAGGTTCCAAAAGTGTTCTTTTAGATGAAGTATCCATATCTAAAGTCACATCTGTTTTTCAAAATGTGATCTTTCTATCACCTGCATGAAAATTAATTTTGTTATCACTTAACAACAACAAGAAGTTGATTCTCAGTTCTTATTCTAAATCTCCTTAGTTAGAATAATTGTGGTTGGGGACTGGGAATCTTCATTATTAACAAGCACATCCCATGAGAGATATTTACCAGCCTCAGTATCATATGATGATAAAATAGTAAGTGGCAATGGCCCCATAGTTATGACCCCTGGAAGCTGGTCTTGCAGTAGCCAGCCCCTCTAGGGGACAAAGCAGCATCTTTAATATTCTTCTGTCCAGT